GACCTCGGTCGTGTGTACAGACCTCACTGCGTTCGGTCTGTACTCACGACCTCGGTCAAGATTCTCCCATACAGACCTCCTGCTCGGTTAATAAGAGATAAATAATTATAATAATAATAAACTAATATTTTAAGAGGAGGCCTCCAAATAACCACTTGTAACAGTGAAGGAACATCTCAACAACACAACAATTACCAAAGTAGGTAAGGATGGACAAAAATTGAAGAAGATGAATACGGATGGCGGTATGGGTTTCTGAAAAACTGTTTTACTAGGTTAAGTACCTTCGCACAAGCGTCAAACTTGCTCTTCAGTCGAATGGAGGCACAACTATCTTAATGATGTTTTTCTTTTGTGGACTGTCTATACGTTTCACACAAACTTTGCAACCACTTCGCGCTGAAACCCCTTTGATATCGCTTTCCCCTTTGCGGGGGAAATCCTCTACTTTCCCGAGTTCAGGTTGTCTTGAAAGTGGTTTTTGAGTAGATCTAGCAGTTGTTTTGTACAGTTTTAATCCTTCTATGGAAAGGGTCCTCCAAGTGTTTCCCGCTGAAACAAATGCAGCATTTGCATGTAAACCACTGGCACTGCCCTCAGATGTCCTCAGGTCCATCTTTTCTTTCTCATTTCTTCCCGTCCTGTAGTTCTTCGGGGTTTCCCGACTAGAAAAATATTTTTCAAATCCCTCCTTGTAGTCATTTTCTTGGTGGAAATGCCGGCAAAGCGAGCAATACCGCCTTTGGTATCTGTGTTTATAGCGGCTTTTTGTCGAGTTGTCTCTATCACAAAAGACGTAAACTAAATGCTGGGCTTCTTCATTTAGTAACAGGGGAGGAGGCGACATCGAAGTAACGCTACGGGAGGTATTGCCATGGAAACCAAGCTTACAATATGGAATTTTCTTCTCGGCCATCCTTCGTGGAAGTTAGCTATCGAGGACGTAGCAATTTCAGTTGTTTTACATGACGTGTAGCTAATCGGAAACGTAGCAAAGGAAAGATGTTGAATTGACTTGTTTTTAGAATAGAAATGCTTCACGTAATTACTCCAGTCATATCTATATTTATAAACGAAACAAAATGTAAATTATTCCCGCAGTTAGCCACTCTAAACCACGAGTTTGTCAAGCAAATAAACTGTTTGCTGATCAGCAATAAATTGCCGATGAAACGTTTTATGTAACGCCGTTAAAACAGCTTACGAAATTAAAAGTGCGACGAGACTATCGACGGCAGTGCAAACACAGGTAAATAACTCACGTATATCCTTCTGTGATTGACGTCAAAGCAAAGTATCCAATACTGAAACACAAGCTGCAAACACCCACAAATTTAAACGTCAAAGCCGAACTTTGAATCGCCGATGCCTATCCATAATAACAGTCGATCTCGTCGCCAAACTTTTAGAGTTAGGTAATTGTGAAAGTGGTAATTCGCAGGCAGGTGTAATTCTCAATATAAAATATTTATCACTGTAAAGGGCCAGCTTTGTAAATTGATGAATTTTAGAACATCTCATGCTGCTAAGATAACCATTCAATTGAATCTGATTGGTTAAGCCCCCATGAAATACTGCTTTGTGTCTCAACGGGGCGGGCTAAGCGAAACTTATGACGAAATTTATGAAAAAAAGAAAAAAACATAAATCTAAGACATTCGAGGTTGGTTCATTAAATGTTGTGACAAAAAAGCGAAATTGCCAAATAAAGCTCTTGCCATGAGGAATTTAGACTATTCGTGTTATAACTTTGAATTGTGTTAATTTTAATGAAAGTTTCATCCTCTTACATGTCAATACCTGTTGATGACTTAACAAACAAATTTGACATTTCACTTTGGCTGGTATTCGACACGAACAAATGAGATCAATAACATGAGTAAACGAGTACGGTAATTTAAAATCCAATTCAAAAGTTGTGGAAAACTCTTCGCCTTTGATCGGCACTGATAAATTTAGTAATGCGGGCGTAATTTCTAGAATATTATACCGTTTTAACCATTAGTTGCAGCAGCGAGCATTATGCAGTGTGATACAATTTTCGGGCATTAGTTTTTCCAAGCTCATTTTGACAAAGGCGATAAGGATACATATGCAACGATTAACAACCAATCAGCACGAAGATGTCTCATCTTTCATGCAACCGATCAGATGCAAGATCCAACGATTCGTGATTTGATGAACGCAACTTCACTTCCCGCGCTTACCGCCTGGTCAAGTTAACGCGACGGATTCTGATTAGTGATCATTAGTCTATTGTGTTACTGTGCGACTGACGTGTTGCCTTGGCGTTGCTCACTCTTACGATTGCAAATGACGAGAACAACTCCAAGTATGCCAGTTTTTGAAAAAAAAAAATACTAACTACTTATTAACCGAGAGTGAGGTCTTTACGGGAAAATCTCGAGTCTCGGTCTGAGTCTCGGTCTGAGTTCAATAAGTTGTTTATTATATGGCTTTTCCTTTGTTTCTGTAATCCCGTAATCGGCTCGTGGGCATCACGGGAGAACAATGGCTTACAATCAGTCAATCAGAGCGCGCGGTATATCGGCTTCAAGGCAAGCCATACAATGATAAGTTATACACTGCCACGTGCTCAGGATCAAAGAGTTCAGATGCGTCGGACTAAAGAAATATTACAGCCTTTTCTTCTTTTTCTCTTATGTAACTTTAGGGTATCACCTTTATGATGTTATGGCATGGGTTAAGGGTTATATTTGATGATTTCAACCTATTTACATAACTTATTTGGTGACTTTAGTCATGCGTTTTATACATGAGCCTCTGGCTCGGATACTGAGGGCAACCTCAATCCCACGCAGTGACTTTAATAAAGTGATTGATTCATTGATTCATTTACGTTTCAGAAACTTATGAACAGCTGTCAGCCAATTATTTGCACTTTTGATCTGGTGATTATGAGAAAATATTTACATTAAAATGAAGAAATAATATTTGGAATGCTCTGAGAGGAGTAAGTTGTAAATAAAGTTTCCGTGTGCGATTTGAGCTTCCATTCTGGCTTACTTTTTCAAATTGCATCTTACGAAAAAATCTATCCCAGTTTATAACCTTTGGAAAAATAACTATGTCCATCTTCTTTCACGACGCTTCTTCGCCACTGAAACGAGTCCATATTGCTTGTTTGGTACTTTGGAAAATACTAACCCAGGTATTTCTCATTTCCGTGTTGAAGCCCGCGTATATAAACACATTAACACAAGCATTGGCGTACGCCATAAATACAGTTATTTTGACTAAAGTCAGAGGAGTGCAAGTAGGACAACCCAACAAACTGATAATGTCAATCACCGTGATTGGCGTTGTCAAGAACACAAAAATACCGACAACGATGAGAACTATCTTGGTTGCCCTTCGTTCTTTACTCCTGCGAGTTTTCGCCGGCATTCGTTTCGGGTCACGGTTAACTGTATCGCCGTCGGTAGTGGATGGCAAGTTACTGACGATCATAGCTGATTCAGTTTCCATGGGAACAGAAGATGGCAAGTTCACAGTCGATCCCGTGGCGGGACCCTCGATGACTTTTATACGACGAATCTGATTCCGCGCAGTTTTGAGGATGAAGTAGTTGGTGAACCCAAGGATTAAGATGACGGCTAAATTGACGATGGAAAATAACATGAAGAGGTACTCTCGGCTCAGTGTAGTGGAATACAAGCAAATGTCCGCCACATCAGCGCTCTCTGCGGCCCCCCATCCCATTAAGGGCAGAAATGCGATGATAGACATCAACACCCAAGACATGCCAACAATCAAAGCTGCTCTGCGCGGTTCAGCCAAAATTGGATAGATGAAAGGTCTTCGCAACGCAATGTATCTGTCAAGACTTATCAGCGTCAAGTTAAAGTTGGACGCGCCAAACAGAAACACTGTCAGCGGTATAACCACAAGGCAAGGAACCAGTGGACTGTTGTCTGTTTGATTCAGTTGATCGGCGAGGCGCAGCGGCATAGCGATTGCCCCTTGAAGCATATCAGCAACGGCCAGGTTAAGAAAGAGAAAGTTACAAACTGTACGAAGCTTTCTGTTCCACAAGATTGCGAGGATGACCAAGAAATTACCCAGAACAGCCACAACAGAGACAGTGATCATGAAGATTGAAGTTAAAATGGTTTCTATAGGATAAGAAGCCATTTTTGTCGCTTCGTCGTTTCCAGTTGTCGTCTACAATTATTTTGTATCCTCTTGTACGCTTGTGAAATTTCAACTGGAATCAGGAAACTCTCTCTTTTAATGATCCTGACAATTCAGTGGTTCGTTTAAGTGCCGTCGCACTGTCTTGGCAAACAAACCTGACGAATCTCTCCGAAAAGGAAATATAGAAATGATGAATTACGGATTGCCGTGAATCATCTCGGTCACAACAACAGACTGCTTTAAATGTAAACTCCTTTTAACACCTTATGATAATATGTACGGAAGACCTTTCAGAGAATTTGCATTAAGAAGTGATAACTAAAAGTGATGACAACTTTAATTGGCTGTCATTAACTCTCGGCACACTCTTAAAAAGTGCTCTAGTAATTCCTAATAATCGTAACTAAATCCTTTAATAGGCTTAACTTAAGTATTGACGAAACTGATTTTTAAACTGAATCCGATTCAGGGAGTTTTTGGCGATGCTGCAAACATTTTTGGCTTGCTATTATGATTACAGTTCGTTTTCAAAAGGAACATTTTGTATGACTTTCTTACTGTTACGTCTTTTCAAAATGAAAACGTCAAAACACTCCCTTCACGTGCACTGCGTCGGCGGATCTTTGTTACGAATAAAAGCGAACGACGTTTCGACCACGCGTCGATCATCATTATCAAGTTTAATGACAAATACACGCCGCCTAATACGGGCGGAATGGTCGTATGAATCATCTGGGTCAAATCTTTGAGTTGATCGCGAAGCCTGTCAGCAAAGACTTGGTTCTTTAAGGGGAAAACAACGCAAACCGGATCTAATCTATCCATAACAAGGGATGTGATGCTTTCAAGGCAACAAAGCAAGTGATCGTAGAAGCAATCAATTTCTGCGGGTATTCGAGTAGAAAAAGGCATAAGTTTCTAGAGATTGCATTTTCTGACGAAAAGA